ACCACAGGTTAGCCCCCTGCCCCCCAGAACGCTGCCACCCATTACAGGTCAGCCCCCACAGAACGCTCCCACCCACCTGGACACTCCCACACACAGTCCAGCCCACCCCCACCTGGACGCTCCCACCCACATGGCACAGGCCCCCCAGCCCCGCCTGACAGTAGCAGCTCACAACCCACATAGGTCCATCCCCCAACTCTACTGCCCTCTGTGACATCAGCTCTCCTAGCCCTGCCAATGAGCTGCCACCCTGAACATGAGCCACAGGCTGTCCAGGAAATAAAGTCTCCCACACCATTCCGTCATTGCGGTGTTTCCCCGAGTTACGTGTGCCACTGCACAGCCTTGATGATGGCCGCCATGTCTGCACAATCATGTCTGTAGCAAGCACGGACACGGCGTGCCAGGCACTGTGCCACACTCTGCGGGTTCCTCACTTAATCCTGCTACGGCCCCTAGAGGAGGGCATTTGATCCTGCCCGTTTCACCGAAGCAAGGAGAGGAGGCAGGCCCCACAGCTACTGACGGGGGGAGCCGAGTTCAAACCCACACCCTGTGACTCCCATGTTCACCCTCTGCATCATCATCCTTCCTACTGTTATTTCCTCACGATCTTTAAGGTGTTTGTCTGTTTTACTCATTTATGTCCTAGGCAGTCTTATTTCTGACATCATAGGTTTGATTTCACAGTTACGTTTTAATGCTCTGGGAAATAAATATAAAACTATTTTTACAAATATTCATCCATGGACCCCCTGAGATCATCTTGGGTACCCCCAGAGGGTCATGGTATACGTATTGGCAAACACTGCTACAATGAATGCCCCTGGTTAGCAGGTCCTGTCCTGGGACTGGCAATGTGGGGACATGTGACTCAAAGCTCAGGTCCCTTGCCAGTGCAGTAGCACAGGCCAGCGCCCCCAGAGGCAAAAGAGTAAATGCTCCAAGACTAGCAGCTGGCCTAGCCTAGGCCCATAGGCCCATGTGGTGGGGCCTAAGTGCATGCGTGGGGCCAGCAAGGTCAGAGCTGAGTGAGATTTTCCTGTGAGGGGAAGATGCAGGTCCAGGTTCGAGGTCAGAGGACAGAGACCAGAAGGCAGGCAGACAGCCTGCACGGAGGACTCCTGGATACAGCACCCTGGGCAGGGGACAAGGATGGGAACTGCGTGGACTGGAGAGGCCAAGTGTGCAGAGAGAAATGAGAACTGATGAAAGGTTCAGATCAGTAGGCCGTAGGGAGCAAGCATGTCCGCACAAGGTGGGTGGAGCAGGCACCAGGGCCCTGTCCACTGTAGGGGCTGCTCACACCTGACCTCCCCTCTCTTGGGCCTGGACCCTGTCTGCCCTGGGCTCTGGGTAACAGGTATCTCCTCTTTCCAGGGGACAAACGCTTCGAGTGTGCCCAGTGTCAGAAGCGCTTCATGAGGAGTGACCACCTCACCAAGCATTACAAGACCCACCTGGTCACAAAGAATTTGTAAGCCAACTGAGGCAGGAGGCCCCGAAGATGCAACCGTTGCCCTGTCCATGTCCTGCCTGGGCTCCCGGCGGAAAGGTGCCCCACAGTTGCCCTGGGCCCACCCTCAGCCCCCCTCCTGTTCTGCGACTGTGTCCCCACAGGAAGGGGCTCTGCTCCACGGACTCTCTTCCTCTCTAAGCACCTTGGCTCCGGCCTTCTCCCCACAAGCTCCGGGCCTGCCCAAGCTCCGGGCCTGCCCAGACTGCGGACACCGGCCATGCCCAGTGAGACGTTCTAAACCAGGACGCGTGGGAACCCTTATTTCCAAAGGAAAAACATGCATTTCACTCCGTCGAGGAGCAAAGTGAGCCCCCCACTCCCCACCCCAACACTGCCGGAGTCGCACCGTGCCATGCCCCCCTCTCCTGCATCTCTCACTTCCTCACCCCATCGGCCGCTGTGGACACCCAGGGCCCTGCACCCAGGGTTCCCACCAGCACCCACCTCTGGAGCGGCTCCCCCGGCCCCTTCCACTCCACACACCCAGCCCTGCCACAACTCTCCTGCAGCACATTCCAACTTTCTATTTAAAAATAAAGTCCCACAGACCCCCCCCAGCCCCTTTTTCTATGGAGAACGTTGCCTTACTCTTCTGCAGATGATGAGCACTGTGTTCTGTGTGTGCTTTACCCAGTCTCACCGACTGCCCCCAGCCCGTCCCACCTCCCCATGCCTGCTTTCAGCCGGGGTCTGGGGGCGATGACGCGCGTACGAAGTTCTCACCCAGCGGTCTCTTCTACATGCCACAGCATTTCAACTCCGATCTGGATTCAGACACAAACACGCCTTGGCACCCTGAGCCTCCCCTCCCCTCATCTCACACCAAGCAGCCCCAACGCCACTGTGTACAGTGTATATTGTATAATAGACCACTGTGTCTACTACATGTCTAAAAAACATATTGCTTGTTATTTTTGAGGCTTTTAAATTAAACAAAAATCCAACTTTATTTTTAGTTGTAACTGCTCGAGGTATGTTTTATGAATTAAGTGACAGATTTGTTATCCTTTATTAACGATGTACTTTGTTGGTCAGTGCTGGGCTGACACAAATTTTTTCTTGCTAATAAATTTAGTTGCCTGAGGCAAAATCTGCAACTTGGCTCTTGGGCTTCCTCGGTCTGTACTATGGAGATCTCAAAGAGGAGCAGCCAGAGGAGGGAGCCCCGGTCTCAGAGTCAACACACTGGGACCGGGTATGACCCTGCCCTCCTGACCCTCAGCAAACCCAGGCCACATGGACCTCACGGCACTGGCACGAGCTCCCAGAGCACCGCCGGGGGCCAGGGCCTGATGTTCCTTCCTTCTGTAAAGATATTTTTGCAGGTGTTTCTGCTTTTCTGTAAGCCATGTCAGCTGAGACCTCAGTGATACTAGGCAGTGACTTCCTCACCGGTACACTCATTCCTCTGCTCCTCTCTCCCGCCCCTGGAGGAACTCTGGGCCCAGACCCCATGAGTAAGAAGCTGGAGAGGGGCCAGCCAATGGCGTGGAGGTTAAGGCAGGTGGATCCCATACAGACGACTCCTAGACCTGGTGGCTTGAAAAACACACCGGGTGTTTACATGTGTGCCCCAAATCCCAAGAATGGAGAAAGGATTGTGGTGTAGCCACCTCCTCTGTGAGATGGTTTCTCACTTTCTCTCTGATGAGTGTAGGTACCCTGTAAAACTAAAAATAATGTTGGAGAGAAGAGCCAAAGGGCCTTGGCTTAGTCACTTACAGAAGGCTATTTCCAAGGGTCCAGGGCCCAGGGCCCCTTGCATGGTGGAAGACCAAGCAGATTTCCAGGAGGGCCCCGGAGTCCAGCTGATCTGCCCTTGAAAATCTGGGGCAAGTCAGGAGTGGGGTATCCCAACCCACGGTTCCTCTTCTGCTCTCTTCCTTCCCTGGGTTTACCTGTGCCAGAGGCTACCTCCCAGGGCCCCTCCTCTCTGCTCAGAAGACACCCAACACTGTGGCTCATTATTCCAGAGGCTTGGGGCTATATACCTGAAAAAGAGAGAGCCAGAGAAGACTCCCCTCCAGAAGCCAGATCTAAGGGAAGTGCCTTTTGTCTGTTTGCTAGAGGGCATGTGTGCTCACCAGAGAGAAAATGTGAGAAAGCGCATTTGTGGGACATGGCCACACCACAGTCTTTTTTTTTTTTATTTATTTGTTCTTTTTTTTTTTTTTAATTTGACTAGAGAGAGACACACACAGAGAGGGAAATTGAGAAAGCAAGCCACCAGGTCTAGGACTCAAACTGTGGTCAGCCATGTGTGAGTGTTCAGTGTGTGTGTTTCAAGCTGACATTCTGGCCTCCACACCACAATCTTTTCTCCCCCATTTCTCCCACTTTTTGGGATCTGGGCACACACACTCATGCGCCTGGTGTGTGTGTGTGTGTGTGTGTGTGTGTGTTTCAAGCTGCCAGGTCCATGAGGTAAGCCTCTGGGATCCAGCTACTTCGATCACCAAGCCACTGGCTGGCCCTAGTCCTTGCTCTTTTTTTTTTTCTTTTTTTAAAAATTATTTTATTTAACTTTATTACTATTGTTATTCTTTTTACATTTGATTAGAGAGAGAGAGAGAAAGAGGGAAAGCAAGAGTGCACACCATCAGGTCCAGGACACAAACCAGTCAGCCGCGTGGGAGTCCAGTGCCTTTAACCAGCACGCCACCTGCTGGCCCCAAGACCCTTTGTTTTTAAACCAACAAATAGGGCTCACCTTTCCTTCAAAATATTCGGTCCATCTTTTTTTTTTTTTTTTTTTCTGTCTTTTTAGATTTTTATCATAGGGCCCATGAGCTCATTAGGATAGCCACAGAGAAAGAGAAAGTGAGAAATCAGCCCTGGGGGAATGGCCGCACCACAATCTCTTCTCCATTCTCCTCTCAGGATTTTGGGCATGCACACACATATGCCTGGTGTGATTTTCAAGCCTCTGGGTCTGGGATTTGAACTGCAGAGTTGGCCATGTGGGATCCAGCCCCTTAACCACCATACCACCTGCTGGGCCCTCAGTCCATCTTTTATAATCAAGTCTTCATGAGGCCCCATGCTTGTGTAATGACAGCCACCTACATCTTGATGACCTATTTTAGAGACAACAGAATGGGGCGAGAGAACGGTTCAGAAGTAGCTCCAACCCCAGGGTAGATGGTAGGACCCCTGAACACAGGCAGGTGTCCAGATGTGGATGGCAAAGCGTTTTTTACCCCATTTGGGTCTCCCCACTGCCCAGATAAACCTTAGACCCCTTTAAAGCTATCCCTGTCAACCTAGCAGCTGAGTTAAAGTTAAGCTGTGTATATTTAGATTCTGAAGAAGACTGGAAATGGAAATGCCGGAGAGTACAACTGGGTCACACAGCTCCCACCAAAGGAGAGCCCCCTCAGCTTGAGCCAGTTGGTGCTGTCTGTGAATGCCAGTTCTTACCATTTTTTTTGTAAGTGAATGCAGGAATGTGGGAGGCCAGCAGATGGTATAGTGGTTACAGCACTGAACTCCTACATGGCTGACTGTGGTTTGAATCCCAGACCTGGTGACTTAAAACTCAGGCCCGACATGTGTGTGTGTCCAAAAATCCCAGGAGGAGAAGGGATTGTGGCATGGCCATGCCCCTGAGGGGATGATTTCTCACTTTCCCTTTCTCTCTATCTCTCTCTCTCTCTCTTTTTTTTTTTTTTTTTTTTTTTGGGGTTTTT